TTGTTTCTAGATTCCTCTCGAATCACGGCCTCGTTTCACGTTTAAAAAGCCTCTCCCCATCCGTCCCCAGTTAGCCCATTAGTCAGTTAGCCAATTGACTCAGTTACCCTTACTTTAGAGCTGATCCGGTATACAGTAATTAAATATAAAACTACAATCTAAATGAATGATTGTTTCCAGATTCCAGACTCTTCTCGAATCACGGCCTCGTTTCCCGTTTAAAACGGCTCTCCCCATCCGTCCGATCACCTCATCCTTTGCACATGATTCCGTTCTTGCGACCAAGTCGACTTTTTCTCATTTCTTCATTCCATTTTTTTTGCATATAAAATGTGATAATCTTTTTTTATCTTTAGACATTTTTCTTTAGTTTTCAATTGAGCTTTGTAAATGACAAAAATCGCTGAACAGTGCTCGATTTTTGATGAAGAGATTTCGAAGGGAAATCCTTGGTACAGTACTGGACAATGAAATATGATATTTGAAAAACGATCGTCACTTTCGCACGTCTGTAACTTCCTTGTCTTTGAGTTTAAACTATTAGTGTTATACATTTTCTGAAAGCTCTTTTCAAGGGCTACACAATGGTAAAATTAATATTTAGAAATACGGTAAAGACAAGGGAGTTACAGACGCGCGAAAGTGATGATCGTTTTTCAAATATGATATTTCATTGTCCAGTACTGTACTTTGTGCTCTAGAAACAAAAAGGGATTTGATGCGCTAGAGAGTGGGATGAAATCAGATCAGACTTTGAAATCTTTAGCTAAAAGTTGAAACTTTTCAAACCCTAGAGAAGCCAATGAGCAATAAAGGCAATGAGCCAATGAGCGCAATGTCTTCGATAAGATTAAGATGATAATTTAGAGAAATTTTTATCAAAATTCTCTAATTCTTTTAAGCTTTCTGAGAAGTGAATGGAATAAGCGAAAGAAATAAAAAAAAAATCGATATTGCCACGCCGATTTCCAATCCTTTTCTCGATTGAATCGGCTAGGAAAGAATGAAAATGTGGGGAATTTTGGAGGAATAGAGAAAAGAAAAAGAGAATAGAGAAACCTTGAGCACAAATTCGTTCATTTTTCATTCAAAATCCATAATCTCTATTCATTTTTTCATTCTTTCTTTTTTGTAAGACAGGGAAATGAACAAAAAAAAGAGCAATTTTGTGCATTTTTCCAAAACGCAAGGCATCTGGTGCACTGAATTCTCTAAATTTTTGTGCACTAGATCCCTTGCGTTTTTTTGATATTGTCTAGCAAATATTTAAAGTTTAGTGCACTAGATCCCTTGTGTTTCCCCTTTCAAAGTTCATCATTCAAAAATCGTTCACAAAGTAGGCGATTCCGAGCCGTTTGACGGTCTTTCTTCTTCATATTACTTTCTAAAGTACTGTAAAATTTCCATTGAATAGTTTTTTCTATAAGAATGATGTTTAACGAAACGAGAAATGAGAAGAATTTTGATGGAAATGTTTGCAGAGCTGTCGTGTTAGACACGTTTCTCGCCGTGATTCTTGTCGTGGATTGAGATTCTCAAAAAATAAAACAAATAGCTAAAATTTTCGACTTTCTCAGTTTAACTTAATTTACCGTAATAATTCTAATAGAAGACCAGTCTCCAATAGAAGACCACCCCCTTGACCCCTTGAAATCGGGACTTTTTAAAACTTCTGTTCAAGTAGAATGAAAGATTTGGGTCCAGATAGTAATATTTTAGCCTCGGCAGTAAAATTGGAGACGTAGTTTTTGAAAAAATTAAAAAATAACTTTTTGGAAAAATTTTTATGTGGTCCCCTACATGGATTTTTTTGAAAGATTTTCTATGGAGTCCGGGCAAGAAAATAATTTCACTTTTAGACATGTTTTTGGCATGTTCTGGGGCAAGGGCTATCGTTTGAAATAGTTTTTAACTATTTTTAATTTTTTGATTCATGTGGGGGACCTTTACCTACTTTTTTGACTCACCAATTTTGGGGGGTTGAAAATTAGAAGACCATGGTCTTCTATTAGAATTATTTCGGTATACTACTTTAAAGTATCTTACAAGATCAATAAGCTGCTTTTTTTCAGCTCTTGATTACCATATTCTCTCCAATAGTAGTGCGCCCGGCCGAGCCGAGTTGATGACTATTTTACGGGTTCCAAAGTCTTCACAGAAGCTCAAGACTCTAATCATCGTCTAGATCTGATCGTCAGCTACATTTTCCGACCCCACATCGATAGGTTCTGATAAGCGGTTCTCGAGATTTCAAGGAATTTAGGCAACGCTCTCGGTGCCCTACTATTAGAGAGAATACGGTCTATATTGTTAAAAATAGGCTCATTCCGCGTCTTTTTTAGTCAGTCTTTTCTTCCCATGGTTACCGTATTCTCTCCAATAGTAGTGCGCCCGGCCGAGCCGAGTTGATGACTATTTTACGGGTTCCAAAGTCTTCACAGAAGCTCAAGACTCTAATCATCGTCTAGATCTCATCGTCAGCTACATTTTCCGACCCCACATCGATAGGTTCTGATAAGCGGTTCTCGAGATTTCAAGGAATTTAGGCAATGCTCAAAGTGCACTACTATTAAAGAAAATACGGTATTCAATTGAAAATTTTAAAGTTAAATTAAAGTTAAAATTTGTTGAAATTCTTTTTTTCTAAGCTTTTTCCCGATTCTTTGAACAGTTTTTTGGCTTTTAAAAAGCTGAAAACTTGTTTAAATTGTCTAAAATTGCTGAAAATTTGTTGAAATCTGTTTATTTTTAAATGCAACAATGTTTAATTGAATATTTTTTGTTTTTAAGTCTAGAAACTTTCTTTCCAACTTTTTCTTTGTTGTTTCCATGGAAAACCTGCTGCGAAACCTTTTTTTTCTTCAGCTAACAAGCTAAAGTTTCCATTTATAAACAAAATTTTAACAATTTTAATTGTAATTAAATGCTTTTAAACTTTAAAAATTCAAATTTTGTGTTTTATCATTTGGAATTCCCTCACATCGCCACTTTCAAAGTTTGGGATGTGCAATGGCAATGAATAAACTTGTTAATGACAATTTCTAAGCGATGTGCAATGGAAAATGAATAAACTTGTTAATGGTTAATATGTTAATATGTTAATATGTTAATATGTTAATATGTTAATATCTAAGTCCCAAAATCTATGTGCACAAGAAAAATGATAAGTTTAAAGGAAAAAGAATCGCTTAAACAATGACAATAGTTTTCCTTTTAGAACTTGTTAATGACAATTTCTAAGCCATGTGCAATGGCAATGAATAAACTTGTTAATGACAATTTCTAAGCCCCAAAATCTATGTGCACAAGAAAAATGATAAGTTTAAAGGAAAAAGAATCGCTTAAACAATGACAATGGTTTTCCTTTTAAACTTGTTAATGTGTTAATGACAATTTCTAAGCGATGTGCAATGGCAATGAATAAACTTGGTAATGGTTAATATGTTAATATGTTAATATGTTAATCTCTAAGCCCCAAAATCTATCTGCACAAGGAAAATGATAAGTTTTAAGGAAAAAATTCGCTTCAACAATGACAATAGTTTGCCTTTTAGAACTTGTTCTCAAGAAAAACCAACTACCGAAGCGTTTACAGGAAGGTTTTTCATTTCAAAAACCTTTAAAAAACAATTTCTTGATTTAAAATCAAATGCAAGGTATTTAAAATAGCTTTTTTTAGAACTATTTATAGTTTAGACAATATTTTAAACAATATTTCTTCAAAATACTTTCGAATTCTTCAATTAATTCCGTCCACTTCATTTTTTTTCAAAAAGTTTTTCTAAATAAAAAGAAAGATTTCCTTTTTCGTTTTCTTTTGTCAAAATTTAAGAGAACTTTCGATTTTTTTTCTCTCAAATTCTTTTTGATCAATTCAAGGTAATAAACAAGTTAGTGAAACAGTTTTCAAAGCAACATTTAATCCATTCTAGTCGAACGATTGAAGCTAAAAACTTTAAAACCTCATATTTCAGTTATTTCTAGCATTTAGCAGCTAAAAACTTCAGAAAATTCTTATTTTGTGATGCTTTTTTCCGGCTGTAATTTTAAAGTCAATGAGATAGTAAGTCAATGGTAATCGATCTGGATGGTGAGTGCCATCTCAGTCAATCTGAGATGGTACTTACCATTTAGCAGCTAAAAACTTGGCATCTCAGATCGACGGAGATACTTACCATCTTGACTGAGATGTACCATTGACTGAGATACTTACCATTTCGATTGAGATGTACCATCGACTCAGATACTTATCATCTCGATTGAGATGTACCATCGACTCAGATACTAACCATCTTGACTGAGATGTACCATTGACTCAGATACTTACCATCTTGACTGAGATGTACCACCGACTTAGACACTTACCATCTTGACTGAGATGTACTTCCCATCGACTCATCTACTTACCATCGACTTCCCATCTTACTTAGTAACTTACTAGGGAACAGTGAGGTTTTGCAAGCGCCAATCCGAATACAGAAATCGTTTGGGCAAAAACTAAAAACGTGATCGTGTTGCCCGTGTCCGACTTGCATAAGTCATATAGCTTTGGTTGGGATTCACGCGAAATCTGACCGTTCCCTAGTTAGTTATAGCTGCCTCGTAAGATGTGCTTTGTGCTCCTCAGCAATCGCTTGCTATCTAGTACAACTGAAAGCCAGAATATAAAGCTTTTTGATTAAGAAGCTTTCTATCTACACTTTCCTGCATCCACATAATCGCTTACTATCTATCAGAATGACAAGATCACTTCAAAAAGGATTGTTTCCTCAATAGGCTTAGGCAATCTTTTCTTTATCCAACCTTAACAAAAGCTTTAAAAAAGAACTTTAAAGAACTTTTATTGTTTAATTGTCTAGCTTTGACTGTAAAATCTCATATTTTTCGAATTACGTGGTTTTTCTTTGAGCTTTTCGAGATTTTATCGTAGAAACCCGCTCGTTCTTTTGTAGAACACTGAAAGCTTTTCTCTGAAATCCAATCTTTCATTTCAAGAACCAATGTTTATCCCAATATTCTACGGTCTCAGCGTGCTATGCGCTTTACTATTCTACTATACAAGGACCAAGGTAACTTTATTTTATTTAAAAGCTTAATCTTAACTAATATAGGTAGAAACTTGTGAAGATGCGAACTTTAAAGGTTTCCAAAAGACCTATATTACTGTCTATTTGTTGGCTGTTGGTGAGTTTTCTTATCTTTGCTATTTACTGTGAAATTTAGCTGGTGATTGGCTGCAAGGACCTCATGTCTATGCTTTGTATGACAGCTATGGAATGACAAAACATCAAATTGAGGTAATCTGTGAAACATTTCTCTACTAATCCGAATTCAGATCCTTTTCATTGCTGGCTTTGGTTCATCTTTACTTTTTGGCACAATCATTGGCTCATTTGCGGACAAATTGTAGGCATAAATGAAAAAAAATATAATAATGATAGTTTTGTGAAAATTCGTCAATTTGGCATTTCTTGAAAACTAGTTTTTGAATCGTTCTGAAAATTTGGATATAAGCTCCATTTTTGATTCTCTACAACTTTTCTATTGACACCAAAATGGGTTTCTTTTGAAGAAAGTGGCGTCACATACGATAATAGCTGGCAGTTCTCAATTCACTAACCCAATGGATTGAGATTAGCCTTGATTTGCGCAGAAGTGAATGTCCAATTTGAGGATTCGGAGCCGGCCAGAGTCGTTTGGCAAAGGGAGAGGGAAGGGAGTTATGTGAAAGCCCTGCGCCAGACGACGAGCGATTACGATTACGCACAAAGAACACACAGAACACACAAATTTTAAGCGGAACTACTAAGTGTATCTTTTTGGAAATTTGGATATAAGCTTGATTTTTGATTCTCTACAACTTTTCCATTGACACCAAAATGGGTTTCTTTTGAAGAAAGTGCTCAAACTGTGACATATGACAATAGCCGGCAGTTTTCAATTCACCAACCCAATAATAATGATTCAGTGGTCGTCGAAACAATTGTCTTCTTTACGCTTTATTGTATGGTGGCGCTTGTGTAACGAAACATTTCAATGACATCAATATTTTAATGATTGGACGGTAATTTCTAAACTTTGTAAGTTATTTAAAGCGTTAAAAGTAAATTTTTAGATTTCTTGGTGGTATCGCGACGTCAATTCTCTATTCAGCTTTCGAAAGTTGGCTTGTTTTCGAGCATAATAAGGTGAAATGGAATAGAAATCGTTGAATTAGCTTGATAGAGCTTTTTGAGATATATGTTAATGTTATTAGGTTGGCAAGTTATAAACGATCGTTTTTTGGTAATGTGTTTTCTGAAAAAACGGCTTATCCAATCAAAAAACGGTTTTCTTGATTCAAAAGCCCTATCCATAATCTACAAAATGGGTTTTTTGAATTTTTGAAAATTTTAATGTAAGAGCATTTTAATGTAAGAGTTCAAAATCCTGGTTTCTAGCATTCATGAGCTAATATATTTTTGAATGATTGCATACTTTTTAAAATAAAACGCTTCATCGATTACATAGTTTCCCAAAATTTCAGAACAATCCAATCTTCGGAAGGTTGATTTCTCTATTCAGCTTTCGAAAGTTGGCTTGTTTTCGAGCATAATAAGGTGAAATGGCATAGAAATTATTGAATTAGCTTGATAGAGCTTTTTGAGGCATATGTTGATGTTAGATTGAGTTGTAGAAGTGAAATGAAATGAAATGAAACTCTGGATTCATTCAAAAGACTTTTATAAGCCAAAAACCAATCTGTATCTATTTTTAGCGTGGCTTCAGCGATGATCTCTTGGGCACAGTGTTCTCAAATGCAGCTTTGGGCAACTCTCTTGTCGCCATTCTTTCCGGTGTCGCTGCTCAAATGGCTGCTGATACTTTTGGCTATGTGTGAGTGATTAAAAAAACTTGTAAGTACTAATGACAATGAAAATTTTCTTTTAGTGCTCCATTTGATTTGTCAATGTTAGTGTTGGGTGTAATGTTTTTCCTTGTCTATGGTACATGGACTGAAAACTATGGAAATGAATCAGCAGCTCTTCAGCATTCATTTAAAGAAGCTGCGAATACGATTAGAAATGGTAAAACTGGAAAAAAGATGTTCTATAAGATTTTCTAACTTTAGATGTAAAAGTGCTTTGTCTTGGACTAGTTCAATCGCTTTTTGAAGGAGCTATGTACACTTTTGTACTCGAATGGACTCCAGCTTTATCACAAGTAGGATTAAAACCAAGAAAATCGATCTTAAATGATTTTCAGGCAACTGAAGGTTCATCAATTCCTCATGGATATATTTTTGCTGCTTTCATGGTCGCTACAATGATGGGCTCATCAATTTTCAAAATCATCTCCAAGCGGAAAAGACCTGAGGATTTTATGAGGTTAAATAGAAGAATAATAGTTGAAAGCTAAAGCTAAAGCTAAAGACGAACAAGAATCTAAAGCTAAAGCTAAGAACAAGAAAGCTAAAGACAAGAATCTATTATTGAACTCTAATAGAAGTATTACTATATTACTCTACATTACCGTACTCGGACCTTTACGGTTAACAGCCGGGCTAGCAATTATCGGCAGTGGTCAAGTTTTTAACCAATAACAGCCGGGGTAGCGATCATCAGCTTGCAAAGCTTTTTAACCAATTTGCAACCCGATTTTATATAAGTTTATGTCAATAAATTTTGATAAAACAAATAGGTTCTGAAAGCTGACGTTTTAAGCTATTTAAATCTTATTAAAACTTCTTGATCTGACAAGTTTAAGGTGCTTAAAAATGAGCTGCAAGTTGGCCGAAAAAAATTGGCTTCCGTAAACCGTAAAGAAAAGAAAAAACCAAACCGTGGCAACCGTAAAGATCCCCGTACTCTAATAGAAGAGCGAGAGTAGTCTAAGATCTGTAAATGCTTTCTAATCCATCTACCAAAAAAATAAGATAAAGTTGTCTTAAGAAAACATTGAGAAGTTCAGTTTTAACTCGATTTCCATTTCAGATACGTTCTCTTTATCGCAGCGATTTGTCTCTCCGTTCCAATCTTCATGCCCTCTTCAGGCATCTCCATTTTCATCGGATTTCTCGTTTTTGAGGTGATATTTCAAAGATTTACTAATGTTTTTTGTGTTTTTCCTTTTTCCAGGGTTGTGTAGGCATTTTCTGGCCAGCAATGGGTTTCTTGCGGGGTGTTTATGTGCCTGAAGAAACTCGTTCCACTACAATCAATCTCTTCCGAATCCCCCTCAATCTCATCGTCGTTTTCATTCTCTTACAAGTGAGCATAGCATAATTCGAAATATTTCAAAACCTTTAGAACTTCTCAATGTTGGCAATCTTTCACTTCTGTGTCTTCTTCCTTTTATTGGCTGCTTGTGCTCAGCATGTTCTCTACAAGTTCGTTTTGCAAAGTTCTCTACAAAACGAATCGAATGGACACAATCATTCCAATTAAATGCTTTTCTTCAAGTTAAAGATTAAGAAAATGGCATGCAAGCTGTAATTTGCTGCAAAGGATTGGCGTTGGGAAAGGGTTTTAGAAAGGGGTGGGTTCGAGGAATTCTTTATCTCACTAGATCTCACTGGATCTCACTGGATTGGATTCTCAAGGATCAATAATGCTTTTGGCCTACTTTCTGGCACAATTCTTATCTTAGAAAGCAAAAATTGATAGTACAGAGTTGAAAGAATTTGGGTAAAAGAATTCCAAGAACTACAGGGTTAGGGAAAATCACCTGGACAACTTCTTGGAAAAGTAGTTGCCCCAGTTTATTTCAAAATCTTAAGTGTTATTTAGAGAATTGTAGGGGTTAATCTTGGCTACATTTATCTAGTAAAAACTTAGCAATTGAACTTCTGCAATTTATTTAACAAGTCATTGAATGGGCACTGATCCCTATCCGCCGTACTGCGATTTTTGACGATTTTCTATATAAAAATTGATCTAAAAAGAAAGTTATTTAGCAAAATTTGTGTTTATTTTGTTTAAACAGCGCTATAAAAGCTAAAATAACAAGATATTGATGTGAATTAAATATCAAAATCTTTACCTTTTTCCTTACATCTTTACTAGCTTGATTTTTGTTATAATATTTTGGTTATTTTGGTTATTTTGGTTATTTTGGTTCAAAAACAGTACAAAATTATCTTTAATATTATTAATAATGTTAAAAGAGATTTTTGTATCAAATAAATATTGACAAAAACTTTTTCGAACAATTTTTTATATAGAAACTCGTCAAAAATCGCAGCACGGCGGATAGGGATCAGTGCTCATTCAATGACTTTCAATGACCACCATGAGATTTGCTAGAGTCAGATCTGTCACAACGTAAAATAGCATAATTATTTCCGGGATCAAGAATAGAGGAAACAAAAGATTCATTTAGCCACGTCTCTGTAATAGCAATAAAAGAGAAAGTCTTTGATCGAGTCAGAGTTTGAAAGAAATTAAGTCGATTATTGCTATTGGAGGCTAGACTGTGGGCATTTGTAAGATAAACACTAGGTAGGATTGAGGAACAACTAAAATCAGACTTCTTCGGGGAAAATGAGACAGTACAGTACAGAAAAACAGTACAGTACAGAAAAAAAGACAGTACAAAATTATCTTTAATATTATTAATAATGTTAAAAGAGATTTTTGTATCAAATAAATATTGACAAAAACTTTTTCGAACAATTTTTTATATAGAAACTCGTCAAAAATCGCAGCACGGCGGATAGGGATCAGTGCTCATTCAATGACTTGTTAAATAAATTGCAGAAGTTCAATTGCTAAATTATTGCAAAAATTATTGCAAAAATTATTGCAAAAAAAATGAGGCAAAAAAGACGAGCCCCGCATTATATACGACACTTTTTAAAGATACTCAGCTGTTTAACTGATTTGGTGGAGAATTCCCCTTCCAATGTGAAAAATGATTTTTGTTTTATTGGCTTTTATTGCTTTTATATTTTTTTTCGCACAGGCGCACTTTTTTGAGAAAACGCATTACTCGACAATTACTCGAACTATTTACTCATGCAAATTTACTCGAGTAATTACTTTACTCGCGAGGAACACACTCTAATTTTGCATAACACTGGAGCATGGTTAATTTCTCTAAATTTGCAGGCACAGCTTGGTTGAAACAAAGCACCTTCCCGTCAAAGTGAGTCAAGATGATCAATATTGATTTGATTAGAGAAAAGAAGATCCCATTTTCACCAGTGATATATGGAAAAGTGATTGTTGAATGTTTTATAGTAAAAAGATTCATTAAAGTCAACTTATCAGCAGTTAAATGTAGTAAAATGATTTTTTTGATTTGTTTTCTTGTTGAAATGATTAAAGTAAATCGATTTATCACTATTTGCAACTCTTTGGGTTCAATTTTTGCATTAAATTCGGCTGTATTTTGCTAGAAATTTCACATCCTTCTATGGAAACTAGCTGAAATACTCAAAGATTGATCTGTAAAGCTGATTTCATCTTTTAATACTTGTTAAACTATTGATAAATCGGATTTAGTTTAATCATTTCTACATAAAATTCATGAAAAATTATCTTATTTGCTGATAATTTTGTTTTAGTTGCTGATAATTTTGACAATCAATGTTAATTCAGAGCAAATGTAAGGATGATTTCTAAAATGTATTACCGTATTTTCTCTAATAGTAGTGCACCGAGAGCATCGCCTAAATTCCTCGTAATCTCGAGAACCGCTTATCAGAACCTATCGATGTGGGCTTGGAAAATGTAGCTGAAGAGGAGATCTAGACGATGATTAGTGTCTTGAGCTTCTGCAAAAGCTTGGAAATCGTGAAATAGTCACCAACTCGGTTCGCTGGGGTGTACCACTATTAGAGATAATACGGTAACTTTCAAAAGCTATTTAAGTAATCTATTACCGTAATCTAAAGAATTTTGAAAGATAATAATTAATAGATTGCTTAGGGATACAATAATTTTCAAAAGATGACAGAAAATCCATAACACTTTTCCAATCACTTTTCCAAAAGCACCCAGCCATTTTTTTTTCAGTTTCATGTATTTACGGCAGATTTACCTACGGGTATGCTGAATTTTTGTGAAATCTGTGATAATTCTTTTAATCAATCTTCTGTGATCTTTTAATTGTGGGTTTTTAAACAATTTTTTCATTCAATAATTCTTTTTGTCTTTCATTCAAAGATTTGTAACAAAATTTGAATCAAAGTTGGTATTTAATGTTTTTAAATTGCATGAACAACTCAAAGTTGAGACAAACAAAAGCCGGTTGGTGATCTGGTTGGATATAAATAACAAAAATTCGATTGGATATATTGTGTTTTCTGTAATAACAGTGTGCACTACTCCAGCCTGCATTACTCCAGCCTACACTACTCCAGCCTACACTACTCCAGCCTACACTACTCCAGCCTGCACTACTCCAGCCTGCACTACTCCAGCCTGCACTACTCCGGCCTGCACTACTCCAGCCTGCACTACTCCGGCCTGCACTACTCCAGCCTGCACTACTCCAGCCTGCACTACTCCAGCCTGCATTACTCCAGTCTGCACTACTATTAGAGAGTTTTCTTTTGTTTTCACTAAAACCAAGTCTTTACCAGGCAATTATAACAGTTATCATACGACTCATTTCTTCCAAATGAATCTAGTTGCTTTTCTATTTATTCAGAAATAAGCAAAGGGAAAACCGTAAATACTGTAATAGTTCCCCACCTCCATAATGACGGTGCGGAGTGTTGCGTCGTCTAGCTTTGAACGAGTTTTTCTCGACACTGGTTTATGCTTTTCTATTTATGCTCTAATATTTGCTTTGAAGGTAGCGTTCCAGGCAATATCAAGCGCTTGGATGTAACAGTGTTTCTTCTTTGCTCTCATCGAATACTCGGATGGTGCTATTTTGCGTTTTGTTTTGTTTTCGAGAAGGTTCCTCATCAGGCTCCTCTTTGCCAGCTGCGTCGTCAGCTATCTTGGCTTCATTTGCGCCCAAATTGATTTTATCTTCAGCCACAAGAAAATCCTCTTTGCATTGAGCGTTCCAATCTTGAGCATCCTTTTTGGAATGCTTGCTTTGTAGGTAATTCTTGCTAGTGTTTATCGGAATCGCCGTCAAGTTTCATTTCTCAAAAAATCAAACTTTGAAAAGAATAAGAAAATGATTGTAAATCAATAAAAGAAGTAGTAAAAATCTGTCAAAAATTTAGTCAAAATCACAATCTGTTAGTCAGTACTAAAGAAATAGGCACAATTTGATAAGAACATCTCATTTAATTACCAGTATGCTTTTAAAACAGGCAAAATTTAATAAGAAAATCTCATTTAATAACCAGTATGCTTTTAAAACAGGCAAAATTTGATAAGAACATCTCCTTTCATTACCAGTATGCTTTTAAAACAAAGAAAGCCAAAACGAACAAAAACAGAGGAACTTTTTGACAGGTGGCACTACTATTTTTTCAACCCTCCTCCCTTCCTGCCTGCTACAGAAACTACTACTACAGAAAATACGGTAAAACATATTTGGAGGTCGATGAATGATTATCGTTCAGATTATCGAGTTTTAGATATTTATAATAATTCTACGATTTGTTTACCTCCCGACTCAATCACAATATCAAGGGTTTTCAAATTTCAAACAAAAACCCCAATAATCCACCTCATCAAAACGAGTTTCTCGCTCGCAAAGCCGACAATAATTCGACTGAAAACAAATTTGACAACTTTCTAAAGCTGATTTTATTTTCAACAGAAATTTAACCAACTTTAATTTGATTTGATTCTACAGCTGGCTTAACCAATTTCATTCGTTTTCCTGGTGAATTTATTGCTGTACAATTACTGTACTATACTGTACTATACTGTACAATTACTGTACTATACTCTGTACAATTTTAAGGTCAACTCTTTATGTATTCAAATGTGGCAAAGATCACAAACGAATCCGGGGATACGGTTTATATTTTCGAGGAGGAAAGCCGAATCCAGTGGATCCCAGTGCGGATGGTTGGGTTTTTAGAAAGAAAATTTAAATAATAACTCACCCCATTAACAATTTCTAGTTCAAAAACAAAACTTTCAATTCCCAAAATAAATTCCAAAAAACCTCAGGTACCCAACTTTTCTATTAATCCTCGCGCTTCTTGTCTCAATTTTCACCGCCACGAACTCAGAATTCATTCGTTTTGCTGGTGAATTTATTGCTTCAATCACTCTACTATACTCTGTACAATTTTAAGGTCAAGAAGTGAAAATTGAAGGATGTGGGAGTGCTCGATTTCACGCGGGTAATCGTTGTGCTCTCCTTGCCGAGTACCGAGCATTGACAGGCTGTCGAGCTGATATCAGTGCATCA